ATGCTAACTACTTCTTAAGTTAAGATGTGAGCTCCGTCCTGACTGGCTCTTAGACGGTACTGAACAGGCTGTCTGCGGTGTCAAGCGCCCCCATGCCACCGCGTGCGCCCAGACACATGAGAGAGCATGGCCCCTGAAACGTCTGGCGAGCCATCGTGTGTGACATAGACATACACAGGGGCAGTCAGGCCAGACACGCCTCACCATCAGCTGCGGGAGGTGGCTCTGCCTCCATGCCAATCTCAGGAAATGACAAACCAATTCTCTCTACCCTGCCCCCTCCCGCCTGCTCCCGAGGCAGGCGGCACCCCCACCCACCAGGGCCGCTGTCCAAGGGCCTGCCTGCATAAGGGACGTCGTCTGCTGGTGCTTCGTCAGCCCTCCTGTCCCCGCCTGCCGCTGGGGCATGCTGCTTCCTGGGGGACGCGGCCCGGGGCACTGGGCGTGGATCCCGGTTACCAGGTCCTGGGTCCTCCTCCAAGGCCTGAACTGGGGGCTGGCCGTTTGCTTCTGGAACCTTCTGGAGAGCTTCAGGAAGACCTTCTTCTCCCCCCAAGGCCGGGTGCTGCCCGGGTCTTTCCCTTTCAGAGTCGGGCAGAGGTGGCGCCATCTGAGCCTTGTTCCCCAGAGCCCTTGCATCTGCGTGTCTGGACGGAGCTCTGTCCTGGCCCGGCCCTCCCTGGTCCTGACCCTCATCTACCAGCACCTCGTCATGAGGGACGGGAGGTTCGTGGCGGTGGGCCTCACCCACAGGCACGGCGACCCCTGGAAGGACAAGGGGAGGAGCTCGGGCCAGGCAAGACCTCACCTTCCTCCCAGGCAATCCGCCCCAGCTTCTGGACCCCACGACGTCACGCGGGCCCACAGCACCCCTCCCCAGGGCATCACTGCTGCCCAGCAGGGACTGGCCCTGCCCTGGGAGTCACGCGAGGGGCGGCTGTGGGTGCACTGTGGGCCCTGCGGCAGGAAGGGCCAGACCTGGCCCGGGTGCCGCCCCTGTCCATGCCCCGGGGCCCATGGCACCTTGCCCAGGGCGGTCCAGCTGTGCAGCCTCCTGCTTGTACTTGGTGTCCGCCTCTGCAGGCACGTCCATGGGCCCCTTAATCTGGGCCTGCTCCAGCTCCTCTTTCTCCTCCGGTGGCCGGGGCTGTCCTCGGCCATCCCTGGGCGCATCCACGGCCGGCTCCTGCTCTGTAGGCACAGCACGGTCAGCCCACGGACCGTCAGCACGGCAGGGGCCTGGACGGGCCCGCTCCCTGCTGCACGCAGCACCCCGTCACCCTCGCACTGCTCCGTCAGTGCAGCTATGCAGCACTGCCGCCGCCACCCCTCACGTGCACACCACAGAACATGTCCAGATGCGACCCATACCTGGCTGGCGGCAGCAGACCCATGCTTCATGCAACACTTAGGACGGCCACCAGATGGCGGCGCACACCCACCGCCGGGCATCAAGGCCGGCACCAAGGCCGGTAGGTGGGCAGGGTTGCTAAGATAACGGTCGGGACAGTCCGAGGGGGACACGGGCACCATGAGGACCACCACACCTTCACCTCCACCAGTGCGGCAAGGTCACAGCCAAACAAAGCTGTGTGGGGGCGGCAACGGCCCTCCACGGTGACCACGGCCACAGCACTGGGTCCAAAGGAGGACCAGGAAGCTGCCTGTGCAGAAGCTTCTCTCTCGGGTGGGTGTGCGTAGGCGCGTGGGGCCTTGGACGGGGCGTCGTCCTGCCGTGACCTCCCTGGGGGCCCATGTCCCGTCAGGACCTCCTGCCTGGAGCAGCTGGCTGCAGGACTGCAGCCTACATACGCCACTGTGCCCAGCTCTGCGGTGCGCCAGGATTGAACCCGGGCTCCCGGGCCCAGTTCCGAGTGGCGGTGGCGGCCAGCACCAGCTACGGCAGCC